GGGTTGAGGTCTCTTTCCTAACCGATCGTATACTTCGGGTCAAAATCGTTGACACAAACAGCTCTCGATATGAAGTTCCCGTTCAAAAAGAGTTTCCACTTCTCAATCAAAATGCTATTAAATTCAATGGTAATCAACGCTATTATGATCTAGAAGTTAGTGATAGTAAAGATGACTTTACTTTTGCTATCACTCGTCAAAGTAGTAAAACTAAAATGTAAGCAAAAAATTGTTTTTTACTGAAAAACCTATTTAAAAAAATTATTTTCAATATAGATTTGACACATCGATCGGTGGTCTTATATATAGCGATCAATTGCTTCAAATCGCAACTCATTTACCGACGAACAATGTCTTTGGATTGGGAGAGAATACACACCATTCACTCAGACATGACTTTTCCAAGTATAAGACATTTGGGCTTTTCAGCAAAGATCATCAAACAGGAGAGGTATGTCTACTACTATTACTTTTTAACATGAACAATTAGAATCTAATTGTGATATCCTTTAGAAGTAATGTATTTTCAATTTATACTCCATTATAGGAACAAATCAATTACTATGGCGTCCATCCCTTCTATACGTGTCTGGAAAGTGACGGTAAATCTCATGGAATTCTTCTCCTCAACAGTAATGCTATGGGTATTCATAATATGTTTATTTTATAAAAATATTTTAAATATTAAATATATACTAATTAATAAGTCGTTTAATAAACTTTAACACCTATTTCCTACAGACTATACAACACTTCCAGAGCCGGGTTTGTCATTCAGGACAAGCGGTGGTGTAATTGACTTATTTATGTTTATCGGCGATAATCCGGAACAAGTCATTCAATTGTATACATCACTCATCGGGAAACCAATTTTGCCACCGTTTTGGGCACTCGGCTACCAACTGACCCGTTGGGGCTTTAATGGCACGGATAATGTGCGACAAGTAATTGATCGCAACATTAAAGCCAAAGTTCCACTCGTATGACAACTAATACATTGAAAAGTTTAAATAAGTTGTTATAAGTACTAAATATATTATTTGTTTGTAAAGGATGTGATGTATTTGGACATCGATTATATGGATCAATACCACGATTTCTCTTATGATAAGAAACGATTTGCAAAATTACCGGAACTGATAGACGAAACCAAATCAAAAAAGAATCTTCACTGGACTCTGATTCTGGATCCGGCCATTGAAGCCATAAAACAAGACAATCCGGCGTTTGAAGACGGATACAGTAAAGACGTGTTTATTAAATGGGACCCAAGTGTACCTAAAAAGGATAGGTATAACCCGCCGGAAGCGCCGTCCGATCGGGACGTGATATATGGCAAAGTATGGCCCAGAGGTCCGGCGGCTTTCCCCGACTTCTTCAAGAATGTCACTCACGAGTGGTGGCAAAAATGGGTCACATATTTACACAATGATCTCAACGTTAAGTTTGACGCCCTTTGGATCGTATGTATAAACCTATTGTTTTATATTTTTAACTCTTGTAATTTTCCGCAGGACATGAATGAACCCTCAAATCTCATTGATAAGGGATATATTTGTCCCAAAAATAAATATGATTACCCCGATGTGAGAATAAGTATGTGTTTTTAATTAATAAGCTATACGTTTAAAATGTGTTATTCTGTTTGAAGAGCCACTCTATGGTAACGATAACGCCAGATATTTGAGTGAAAAAACCATTTGTATGCTCACACGTCAGGGCGATAACAATGAGTTACTTCACTATAACGTACATTCACTCTACGGCTGGTCGGAGTTAATCGCCACACAAAAGTAATTTTGACTTTTAATTATTTTTTAACCATTTTAATTTATCATTATTAAGTTAATAATAAACTATACTCACAGAGCAATACATGCGGCGACAGGAAAGCGAGGGTTTGCTGTCTCGCGGTCTACATTTGTCTCTTCGGGCAGATATGGGACGCATTGGTTGGGAGACAACGCCAGTCAATGGCCGCACATGAAGTACTCAATCATCGGAATCTTGGAATTCAATTTGTTTGGCATTAGTTTTGTAATTAGTTTTTTTGTTATCAATTCTGTTTAATTTATCACTTATTATAATACTTGTATATTAATGAATAGGTTGGACCCGACATTTGCGGTTTTGGTGATAACACCACACCTGAGCTCTGCAAACGGTGGCACCAATTGGGGGCCTTTTATCCATTTAGTCGCAATCATAACGCAATCGGTAACATAGATCAAGACCCGGCTGTTTGGATAGAGAGGGGTCATCCGGAGGTTACCGAAGCTGCCATTAACTCATTGGGATTGAGATATAAATTGTTGCCATATTTGTATACATTGTTTTTCAAAGCTCATACAATTGGTCAGACAGTGGCCCGACCCGTGTTTCATGAGTTCCCCACCGATAGTAACACATATGGTATTGACGAGCAGTTTATGTTAGGATCAGCTCTACTCATATCACCATTTCTTTATCAGGTATTCAATTATTTAATATTTATTTTGTAAAATAAATAATTAACACATAATTAACACATAACACAACATAATTAATTTTGTGCTCAGAATCAAAGCCAAGTGAAGGCTTATCTGCCAAACACTGTCTGGTATGAACTGTCACCCAATATCAGTAAAGTGTCCAAAACTGGTCCCATTGTCATCAATGATAACAAATACGGTATACCACCCGTCCATCTGAGGGGTGGATCCATAATACCCGTGGCATCGGATTACCCGCACGTAAACACAATTACCATAAGGAATGGTAGCATTAATTTGTTGGTATTGCCCGACGCCTCCCATTCCGGTTCGGGTGACTTGTATTGGGACGACGGCGACAGTATTGACACTACAGGCAAAGCTCTCTATAATTATTATTCATNGGACGACGGCGACAGTATTGACACTACAGGCAAAGCTCTCTATAATTATTATTCATTTGTTTTACACAAAAACTGTTCACTGGATATAAATGTCGTTCAAAATAACTATAAAACAAATCAAATTCTGATGTCCATTCAAATTTATGGCACAAATGGAGATACAGTGAGCGCAACACTCGATGGACAGACCGTCACTGATATCACTGTTCATCAGAAGATGATTAAAATAAGTCCTAAGATTGACTTACAGTCAAAGGCAAAGGGAAACAAATGGACAGTTGTATGGAAATCAACAAAAACTAATTTATGTAACTTTGAATAATTACAACAAACTTTTAATTGAATGTTTTTGTGCTTTTAAACACAAATCTAATGAATAAAATTACAGAACACTAAATAATAAATTACTATTCAATTGAAACGATAATTTAATGATAAATAAATTAGTAATTAATGGATTACAAAACAGTGAATGCGGGCAAAACATGTCATTCATTGTAACACTACCTGCGGTTACAGTCGACAAACCCGGCGCCGCCTAAAAAGCCCCAACAGATATTGGAGAACAGGTATATCTTAACAGGTCTTTGAGTAGTTTTAGTGGTCTCTGGCGGTGGGGTTGTAGTGGTTGAGGCTGTGGTTGCGAGGGGTGGGGCTGTGTTGGTGTGTACAACAGTGGTCTGTACAATAGGCGACACGGGTTTGGTGTAGTTAGTTATGTTGAGCTGAATGGGATTAGTTTTTGTCACGTTTTTGCTAGTTTTATGCACTGTCTCTTTAATCCACTGGATGTGCTCCTTATCTGCCAATTGATCCGCATTAATGTTCACCTGTACTACGGGTGCCGCCACTTGGCTCAGATGCTTTTTATCTATAACACATAGAAATTATTGTCTATTTACCAAGTTTTAGTTAGAGTAATAGTTGTTTTGGTAAATTGTGAACATTATTCAATTGGTTCAATAAATAAATAACGAATTGAAAATTATAATTCAATTTGAAATTTACTATAAATTAAATTAAAAATGAAATAATTCTGTTCACAATATACACAACGTATGAGTTTATAAGAAAATCACTAAATACTAACCGTGAAAACAACAGGCGATATGAGATTCGCGACAATTGATGGATAAAATCAACGGTTCCTTCACTAAAGAGCTCATGAAGAATGCCTGTCGCGTGTCGTTTACCGATCGAAATGTTTTAATCATTTTTCCCTTTTTTAGGTCACATATGAGGCCAGTCTTAGTGCACCCGACGGCCACACATGTCGGGAAAGAGTGTCGGCCAACCATTGCATCCTTTACTACAGATACTAATGAATGGGAAAATAAAAATACTAAAATGTGCAAAAAATATTTTACATGTTCAAAATAAATATCTCAATATTTAAAACTATCAAACTATTTATAATTAATTATTAATAGAATTTACAATTATAATTCCTAAATTTAAACATGATGATCAAGTTATTCATACCTTTAATGTAATCATGAGTTCCACTCAAGACATACTGTTCTCTATGCGTAAAGTCGGCTGAAATTAACAAATTCTTGCCATCGGTTAGACTTAACGACACATTTATTAAATAATTGATGATTAAAATCGTGATAATTACTGATTGTATAAACATTTTATTAATAAAACTTTCCATTTATATTCAAAATGCAAAATATATGTGCAGTTTGAGTGCACAACAAATATAAACACCACTTTTAATAGTCATTTCAATCACAGGTAGACGTGATAAGGAAGTGATGAGTATTAAAACGGTTTATGGGATTAAAGTTACCAAAAATCCTTAGAGCTTTGCGTTTGTATCAAATCCGTAATAGATATTAAAAACTACATTATTATAAAATGAAATTTAAATATTTTATTACTATTTTTTGCATCAAAAATGAGTAGTTTTAACATTTAAATTTACAAAACTAATTTATTTAAATATATTTACAGGAAAATTATATTGGTTTAGAATTTTGGGACCAAACAAATTACATAGTATATGTAGTTTTAACATCGTTTTATTTTACATATAAATTAATAATATTATAAAATATTTATAATATAAATAAATACTGCAATTATGGTCTGTGTCTTTAAGCATAAAAATATCAATTTGCTTAAAATTCATATTAACATGTTAGAGTTAACATGTCAAAACTGTAAAATTATAAAAATTTAATAATTATAACTAAAAATACATGACATTATGTAATACATAATGAAGAGAAGTAGATGATATATTTTTAATTTATATTTTAACCATAATTAACAATATTTAAAAGTTATAAAAGGCTACCAAACATTTCTATAATATTTTTTGTTATATTGTCCATAGAAAATATTAATTCATATTTATATCAAACATTAAGTTTTATAAATAGATTTTTAAGTAAATGTTTGACCAGTTTTAATATCATATAACATATTTGATTATTAATAATTATATATTCTAAAAGTATTTATCCATTTAATAATACATATAATGATAATATATAATTATCATTTTTATTTTGAAGAATTGTATTTATATACATGCTTCTTATTATTGAATTTTGTTTAGTACATTGCAATTTTACCGAGAAAATCCAAAATATATTGATACAACAATTAATATTGATAAAATTGGGTAAATAAAAAACTTTGTATAATTAAATAAATCGACTTTAAATGCATTCAAAATACACTTAAACTCTAAAAACAAAATCCGGAATTCAAAGGTCTGGAGAGCGGGTGTAAGCGAGCCGTACGTCTCAATGGTAGCCACTGTTTGACCGCATATTTGTCTTAGTTTTCTGCACGTATGCATTGATAGTACGGTTAGTGATATTCCGTAGATAAAAATGACCATGATGATCGTATCGTATAATTGCCATTTATTTGTTGCGAAAACGTATGCAATCATTACAAGTGTTTTAAATACAATTATATAGAAAATTTGAAATTTCCTGTAAATAATCTCTAAATCTCTTGTATTTGTCGAAATGTCTTTAAACCTATTATTCGCCGAGAATTTAAATATTTTTTAAACATATAATTAGTTATATACATAAAATTCTCTTAAATATTAAGTTTAACAATTTAACAACTTACCTAATGCAAACCACTCTCATCGCATCCACAGCTAGATCATTGCAATTGAGGCAATTCTGGACATAATCTTTTAGGCATTTGAATTTTAAACTCAAAACAACAAATAGTTTACAAAATAATAGGAAAATAAAAGAAATATAAACGATATTATTAGCAGTGAGAATATAAAAGAGATAATAGACATAATGTCCGTTACCATCAAAACAATAGAGACACAGATAAATACATACAATCCATGATAAATGATATATTACTGACAGCACATTAAATCCGTATTTCATTAATTTGTAAGAAGGATCAGTTTGAGGCCAAACTCTGTTTGTTGGCTCCAATTGGGTGTCGGGTTTAAAAATACGATTTAATACCTCTTGGAGACCATTTTGGTAATAATACAGTGTATTTAAAATGACAATTGGGGTAAAATTCCAGATAATGACCGTCAGCACTCCCACGACAAGACTGCTATTAACTTCCCGTCCATTTCTGCTGTTAATTATGTATATCATAACAATATTCACCACAAAAGCCATATGAATGAATTTCCAGCACATAAATCGCTTCCA